TAAATTTAGTAGGTTCCCTGTTTTGCCATAACTCTTTTTTTTATGGCAGCAATTTTCATGTTTTTATAGCATTTTTATGACCCATTGAAAGGCCTCTTGGCACGTTGTTTGGCAATGTTTCACCTCAGATGCTGTCACAAAAGAATTCACAGCAATAGGGAGCAGAGCTTCATCAAGGATTCCAACCTATACTTGCCCTGGGTTTAATCGATGTTGGCCCCCAGGTATCTCAAATTACCCTACAGCCAACTCAGTACTACTCAGGTCCCTGAATCGATGATAGCTAAGTCTGGACAGAAATCAGGAGTGCCTTCCTTGTGAGTGGGTGAGTTCATAGCTTTAAACCTCTATCTGAGGGCACCCATATGAGAACCAAACTGCTGTGTTAAGTCCCAACCCATCTAATTTGTCCTCTTACATAGTTTCAGAAGAAAATTTAGTTCCCTACTAAGATTAGAACCTTGCAGTAAACTGTAGGTCAGGTGGCCGAGGAACTGAACTTCCTACTTATTCCTTTCTATCCAGTTTATACCAATGTCCAGCACTCCATGTTCTGGATCTGAGCCCTGTAGTCTCAGAGGATGAACAGAGCCCCACTTGAACTTACCTAAATGCTGATGTCCATCTCTAAGATTCTTGAAGCCATCTACATCCCACTTTAACTCAGTCCTGATTTTCAGCCCCTACCCTTCATCCATCCTCACCTCTGGCTGACAGCACCAGGATAAACCAGATGGATTCATCAGCTTGCTCTTGGACTTCTAACTTGGATTTCTGAGCCTTCCTCATGAGATACCCAGTACCCTCCATCTTAGCACACCCTGATACTGATATCATTCAAAGAACACACCCTGTTTGGCAGCTCAGGCAGCTGGAAGAAGAAGGTAGACCTATTTTTTCCAAAGAACAAGGAGGCCACAGAGAACAGAAGTCCGAAGCATCTCAAACAAATGGGGAGCTGGAATGGGGGAAATAATTCTGCTTTCTTCATTCAGTCCCATTTCCTAAAGGAGTCTAGATAGTATTGGTCTGTTACAGGAGGAAGGAAGGAAGGAAAACAGGAAAGAAGGGAAGGAATTACTTCGGTAAACCAATAGAGGGATTACAAAGCCTAGATAAGAAGCAAACTGAAGACATAAGAGCTCTAGTTTCCTTTCATCGCTCCTCATGTCTTAGTTGGAAGTTAGGAGTGAATCTCTTGCTCCTTAACCTGGCATCATCTGAATTAAAATCTGCCTGAGAAGCTTGCTAAGTCCAGCCAGAGTTAAGTCAGCATTTATCCTGAAGATGCCATGGAGCAGATTCCTCCTCTGTCCTTGCATGCTACACTTTAGTTACACCAAGCCATTTAGTGTGTGTGTTCCCCACAATCTAGTTTTTTCTCTCTCTCTACACTTTAAGGAAAATGTTCTCCATCCCTGGAATTCCCTTTAGTCTCGGTCCTATGCAGGCAGCTTGAAGTGATTTCCCAAAGCCAGCATTAGATGTAACTTCCTCTCTGAGGCACTTTCTAAGCCATTCATCCCTGTTTCTATCGGGAGAGTAAATCATCTTCCCCTCAGGATGTTGTACCAGTTGGTATTATTTCACTGTGGTGGGGAGGGGAAACAGACAAATTAGTAGATTGCAGTATGGTAAAGTAGATACAAATGGTAGTCAATAATTATAATAGGTTAGAGTGATCATAAAAATACAGTGGAAATGTAGATGAGGTAATGACTGATGGGTCATATTCAAAAAGTAATATTAAATCAATCAGTTCTCCGCATGGAATTTTCACATGGTTTTCCCAAAGGCTCTAATCCTCCCCTACCTCCCCTAACATTTTTGTAGTCATCATCTTGAATGAGATAGATCTCATGCTTATTTTGATTCCCCAAACTTTTAAGACTTCTAATACAGTGGGTAACAATGTAAAAATTCAGAAATGTTTCAACAAGCTGGATTTGATGGATTTAACTGTGGATTTAAGTGTGGAATAGGTGCTGGCTCTTCTCATAAACTATTGATGAAATTGTAAATTGACTGATATAGTTTTTTTGGAAACTTGGGAACATATAAAAAGCATAGAAAAAACACTTTAAATCAAACATTTCATGCCTAGGGATGTTGTCAAAGAAATAACCATACATGCTGTTTAATTTTTGTTATTTTATACATGAGTGTTCATTACATTGTCTGAAATACTAAAGATGAAAAATTAAGCACATTAGTGATATATCTACCTATACACACATGTATACAGAATGTGTATCAAAGATGATGCACTTTAAAAATCACGTTAATTGCAACTAGAGATTATCATACTAAGTAAAGTAAGGCAAAAAGAGAAAGGTGCCATATGATGTCACCTATATGTGAAATCGAAAATATGGAACCTATCTATGAAACGGAAACAAAATTAGGGGTATAGAGAATAGACTGTTGGTTGCCAAGGGGGAGCAGGGTAGGAGGGGGTGATAGAGGGATGGATTGGGAGTCTGGGGTTAGCAGATGAAACCGATATATATAGAATGGATAAACAGCAAAGTCTTACTGTGTAGGACATGGAACTGCATTAAATATCTGGTGATTAAGCCACAATGGAAAAGAATATGAAAAATAATGTATTTATACATATGTATAACTGAGTCACATTGTAATTCAACTATACTCCAGTAGAAAATAAATTTTTAAAAATCACTTTATACATAGTATGTAATTACAAGGTGAGCAACATTGTGCAAAACTGAAAGACAAAGGCCACTACAAGATCATTTGAACAGTGTTGCGTAAAGTCATACTACACATGTATACACAGCTCAGAGGTCATCCACGAGCACACTGGCTCTCAGAAAACTAGTGAAAGCTTGATTTGCATCCTTTAGTCATGATTTGTGGAAATGCAGAACCATCTCCCCAACTTTCTGCTCATTCAAGGGCTCAAGTACTCCTGATCCAGTGCCTAAAGTTAAGGATGATGTCAATTTCAGGCTTCATCACTTCAGGTAAAATATCCCATCCTTTAATTAGTTTCCCTGAAATATCCACTCACACTAAGCAAAGGATGAGTTTTCTTGAACTCACTGAAGATAAGGGGGTGGGGTTACAGGGAGGAGCTACGCTGCAGGGCCCTGGAGTTTCCACCACCTCTGTTGGCCTCCACACTTCCTCATCCCCGGACCCCTGCCCCGCCTCTCACCTCTGGGTCTCAGCCCCTCCCTCTGGGGCTTTGGGCCCTGCCTAGAGATCAACAAAGGTGCTGGGCAGGAAACATAAACCTTCCTTCTACCTTTATAGGTTTTTCTGGCTAGTCTAGGAATTACATTGACACAAAACAGATTAACAGGAGAAAAGCAAATTTCATTATGTATGTACAAGAATCCCACACACATGAGGGGGTTAGAGACCCCACATACATGAGAAGTTCAAGGAAAGAAGACTAAAATGAGGTCTGTATGCCATCCTGAGCTAGGGTATGGACTAGGGCCCTGGGGCTTCCAAGGATGGGAGAGTCTTTCAGAGCTCAGCAAGAAGAGCAGATATTTGTAAATTAGACATTTGCCCTGCCGTGGAGATGGAGCCACTTAGATAAAATCTATCTCTGCTAATAACTCCTCTGGGAAAAATCCCCAATATAACTTCTTCCAGATAGCTACGGGAGGGCAGTAGTTTCTCTTGAACCTACCAGGTCTCGATTACCTTTAACTCCAAATAATCCTCATGCAAAAGTGCCATATCTAGGGGAGGCTCATTCTGAACCCCAGAAACAGTTATATATATGTTGGCTGTTACAGTAATAGTGGTTTGGTGGCTGAGTCGCTAAGTCCTGTCCAACCCTTGCGATCCCATGGCCTGTAGCCTGCCAGGTTCTTCTGTCCGTGGGATTCTCCAGGCAAGAATACTGGAGTGTGTTGCCATTTCCTTCTCCAGAGGATCTTCCTGACCCAGGATTGAAGCTAGGTCTCCTGCATTGCAGGCAGATTCTTCACCGACTGAGCTATGAGGGAAGCCCACAACAGTAATAATATTCTCAACTAATTATATACGTATCTGTATAGATGAAAGACAACATGGGAGTCTACCAAAATATTAATAGCAGTTAATCCTTGGTGGTAGAAATGGAAGTAATTTTACTTGTATTGTTTATTCTGTGATTCTTAAACTTTCAAAACTGAACAAATGCTACTTTTTTATTATAAAGAAAAAAAGTTTCTTAAATGGAATTGTTTGTTTCATGATAATGGTAAATGCTCCAGAATTAGAGACGAGATCATAATTTGGGGGACTATTTTAGAGGTAATGTTATAGGAGGGTCCTTCTAACTATACAATTTTATGATTCAGGGGTTGTTGTTAAGATAAAATGGTATAATGAAAATGAGAGTACTTTGAAAAGTACGAATCTCCATAAAAATATGCTATTATTTTGATGTTTTGTAGTGTAGTGATAAGTACAATTGCTGGCACTGAATAGAATCTAAACTTGTAGAATGGGATGGAACAGGCAATTTTAGGGTAGATGTATGCTATATGTATATATAGATGTATGCTATAGTGGTTCAAATCCCAAAACTTCATGCTTGAAAAGACAACCCATCTCTTCATTTTGTTCCTTCCCTTACTTCCTGATTCTCTGCTTTATTTTACCCTAGGACAATAGGAAAGAAAGAAGGTACAATCATAGTTTTTTTTTCTTATTTCATTATCATAGTAAATATAAGAATTTAAATAAGTAACTTTTGCCCTGTGATATTATATTTACACCTATAAAACAGAGATAAGTAATCCTCTATGGTGTCTTCCAGAATTTTTAGTCCAATCATTTAATTGTTCATTGTTGCTTTTCAGTTGCAAAGTTGTGTTCAGCTCTCTGTGACCTCGTGGGCTGGGGCACACCAGGCTCTTCTGTCCTCCAGTTTCTCCTTGAGTTTGCTCCAAGTCGTGTCTGTTGAGTTAGTGATGCTGTCTAACCATCTCACCCTCTGCCACTGACTTTTCCTTTTCTCTTCAATCTTTCCCAGCATCAGGGTCTTTTCCAAAGAGTTCAAGCTGATTCATGAAGAAAAATTAAGAGAAGCAGAGTTTATGTATAGGAAGATTGGTAAATATTTGGGGTTAGAAAAGTAGTCAGCTCTTTTCTGAATGGTATAGGGAGGGTTAAAATCAAACAAACACATTCCTTACTTGTTGGACCTAAAAGTATCAGGAAAACTTTTCAATCATAATGGGCTCTTTGTTTTGTTTTATTCTGTTTTATTTTACTTTATCTTTTACAGTTGTCTAAGAAAGTTTAAATGGGTTAAGATGTAGAAAAAAAATTTTTTTAAACCTTTGAAAATATGAGGTCCTTGTCATGATTTTCAAGGAGTGTCACCCATGAATATAAAGCATACTTTCAGCTCTGTGAAACCTTAGCATTAAGATTATTGCACACTTTATTGCCCTTTCCTAGGCTCTGAAACTAGAAATTCATCTGCCTCTAACCTTTCCACCCAAGTCGACTTCATACATAAGTAAAGAGCAAGTTGAAATTACAGGGAGCTGTAAAGAAATGGAAGTTCTCCGCTTTCTTCTTTGAAAACCAATATTAAAATATATGAGGTGCAATTGTCAAACTAAAAAACTGTCAGATGATTCATAAGGAATGAGTGGCCGGCAGGCTGGCCTGACTGATCCCTTACATTTCTGATTTTTAACGGGTCTTTGGGAAAGAAGACGGTTATTCCCCATCCAAGTCAGACAGCCATGGAGACGGGGGCTGACGGGCAGAGGGAGGGAGAATGGCCAGATGCTGAGCACAAAAGGCGAGGATGCCACCCAGCCCAACGTGTTCAGATATTAAATTTTTCAGTCAACAGTTTGTAAATGAAACCCCAAAGGATTCAATTTCCCCCACTCTGGTGCCTTCTCTGTACCGCCTGCCCCTGTCTCATCATCTCCCCAAGGAGGAGCAGGAATACATGTCAGGCATCCTTTTAACTTGTCAGGGTCTTAACTCTAGCTGAGGCAGCCAGGTATTACAGCTGAATGGGTTTACACATTTGAGAGTGAATATCCGCTTCTGTTCACTGAGCCATGGCATTGGTGTCTAATTTGGCGCTTACCTGTCACAGCAGCGTTGATCATCGTAACCAGTCTGTGTAGGAGTCACGGGTTTGGGGAACATGGGATCCAGTCCCACCTGATTTGGTCTTGGGGACTGCTTCTCCCTGAAAGATTGTTTAGAGATTAATTGAGATTGTTTATAGGGGGCTTCCCTGGTGGCTCAGACCGTAGAGAACCTTCCCACAAAGCTAGAGACCCGGGTTTGATCCCTGAGTTGGGAAGATTCTCTGGAGAAGAAAATGGCAACCCACTCCAGCATTCTTGCCTGGCGAATCACATGGACAGAGGAGCCTGGCAGGCTGCAGTCCATGGGGTTGCAAAAAAGTCAGACGCAAGTGAGTGACTAACACTTTCTATAGATGTCTAGCAACTGTCCTGTAAGGTCTTGACTATCATGGCCATAAAAACTGAGCTGAACAAATTCCTATGAATATATAAATCTAGGTCCCAGGGGAGATGGAAGGGGGTTAGTCTGCTGCAGTTGAGCATTGTGGAGGTGAGTGATTGAAGGTTCTCCTTACACAAAGGCGCAATAGACCCAATGAGAGAGACAGTTAAGGTACGTGCGTGCTAAGTCACTCAGTTGTGTCCGACTCTTTGCAACCCACTGGACTGCAGCCCACCAGGCTCCTCTGCCCATGGGATTCTCTAGGCAAGAATACTAGAGTGGGTTGCTGTGTCCTCCTCCAGGGGTCTTCCTGACCCAAGGATCAAACACACATCTGCTCATTAGCAGACAGTTTCTTTAACACTAGTGCCACCTGGGAAACCCACGTGACCCCATGGACTATACGGTCCAAGGAATTCTCCAGGCCAGAATACTGGAGTGGGTGGCCTGTCCCTTCTCCCAACCCAGGGATCAGACCCAGGTCTTCCACATTGCAGGCCGATTCTTTACCAGCTGAGCCACACGGGAAGCCCACAGTTAAGGTATATGATTATAAATGATATTATTACCTACAGTTACTCTGTGGCTCCAAATCTGGCATTGGTCATTTACCACAGGCAGGGTTTGAGGTGGTAGATGACCAACGCCCAAATTGGAGCAATAGAATAACTCTAGGTAATAGAACTCCTTTACACTCTTGGGAAGTTTAGTAGTAGAGAAAATCACTTCAAGTTGGTGTGTATCTTGTGATCTTGAATATCTTATGATCTTAATATCTTATGATCTTCTCATGAATATCAGTGTGGGAAATGGTTTGACAGGTTGGGAGCACGCCTCCATCACTTCCCGTGTCCTCTGCTCCCCTTCCCCAGACTCTGCCTCCACTGTTTAACTTGGAGGAATAACCTTGACTTTATCATTCCCCCCACAGGCATGTGCTCCTGTGAGCAGGCCGTGCTAGTGAGGCCTGTGTGGTATTAACTAAAGCCTTTTGTGACCTTGTCCTCAGGGAAGACGTGCACAACTGTTGTCCAAATCAACTGAACAGCAGTATTAAATAACAGAAATAATACCATGAGCAATCTTTGAGAAAGAAATGGATATCCGGGGCCTCTACTCTTTTTGGTTTCATAAGTAATCCTAACAGGGAGGGGACAGAGCCCTCCATTCCAGCATGTGGTGGTTGAAGTGATACTAGACATCAATAACTAGAACAAAACTGGAGGCAGCACATTGAATGATGCCTCCAAACCCCAAATTCAACTTCAGGACCAGCTGAGAGCAGCAGATCCTACAACAGAGAGCAGAGGTGGTTTCTGTTACCAAGGATGGACTCCGCTGGGCAGAGGATGCTTCAAAGAGATCATGACAGCAACAGGGGTCAAATCTTGCTGTAAAGGAACATGTCTCAACCCTGGCTACGTGGTAGAATCATCTAGGAAACTTTTTCGGAACACTGATAACTGAATCCTACCCTTAGGGATCCAGATTCCAATGGTCTGGCATGAAATCTCGTGATCAGTGATTAGAATCCTTAGGAGTTCTAATACACAGCAGGAGTTAAGAACCCCCACCTTAAAGAAAAGGAGGGACAGGCTAAGCTGGTTCACACAGTTAAACCAATGAGCCTTGGAGCTAAAGATGAAAGCTTTGATGACCCACACCCACTCATTTGAGGGCACTCCTCCAGGTTACTGTGGCTTAAGAAATGTAAATTACACATAAAAGATCAAACAGATACATATAATGCGTCTCCATCTAGGCGTGTTGGCTAAAATCAAATTGTGTTTGTCCTATAATCCAAAACAAGTCTTCGGATAGCTCTATATCTATATGATTATATGTAATATATATGTAAATATATACATAATATATATAAATGTAATATATGACAAATAATAACATATTATGAATATATGTACTGAAACATTCTTAGTAAATTGATCAATACGTTGCTCATTTCTTTGCAGTAAGACAAAATGACTCATGGTCAACACAAATTTCAAGAAAATATTTAAAGGCAAGTGAGAGTCTATAAGTAAGGAAACAAAACATTTCAGACACAGGGCACAGACAGCTGATAATGAGGTTCTGAATGATTAAAGAAAATATTTAATAGCTTGTTTTCAACTTACTCTTCTTTTGGAAATAATTTCTCTTCCAAGGTTCTTTTTTCGCCATTTATTTAGAACTTGTGTATCTCTTAAGATGATGCCTCATCTGTAAGGTGGAAACACTGAAACCACAAATAAGTATAACATGGAATCCCTCTGTAAAATTAAATTAATACTTGTTTACATTAATTTATCTTATCAAGAATTGAGAATTATTGAGCCTTCTCTGCACATGCAGGATCACCCTAAATATAGTCAAAATTCTTTTTTCTGTTATTTGAGCTTTAAAATAACTTCTAAAAGATGATTGGAAGTCCATTCAGAATCAAGGTCAGGGTGGGCAATGTTAGAATAAAGGCAGTTTGATTATGGTTACCAAAGGGGATAGGTAGGGGGAGGGGTAAATTGTGAAGAGGAGACTGGGATTAACATATACACAACTATGTGTGCATGAAATAGACAAGCAAGGACCTACAGCATGGCACAGGAACCTCTACTCAATACTCGGTAATAACGCATTTGGGAAAAGAATTTGAAAAAGAGTAGATGTGTGTATCAAAGAATGGACGCTTTTGAACTGTGGTGTTGGAGAAGACTCTTGAGAGTCCCTTGGACTGCAAGGAGATCAAGCCAGTCCATCCTAAAGGAAATCAGTCCTGAAAATTCATTGGAAGGACTTAAGCTGAAACTCCAATACTTTGGGCACCTGGTGCAAAGAACTGACTCATTGGAAAAGACCCTGATGCTGGGAAAAATTGATGGTGGGAGGAGAAGGGGATGACAGAGGATGAGATGGCTGGATGGTATCACCAACTCGATGGACATGAGTTTGAGCAAACTCCAAGAGTTGGTGATGGACAGGGAAGCCTGGTGTGCTGCAGTTAATGGAGCTGCAAAGAGTCAGACACGACTGAGCGACTGAACCGAACTGAACTGATAGTATAACTAAATCACTTTGCTATACACCTGAAACTAACACAATATTGTAAATCATTATATACTCCAATATAAAATAAAAGTTAAAAAATAAAGACAACTTGGCAGTATCTATGATGGATGTCTGATCATTTTGTCACATGTAACTTTCACAACGTCCATGTGAGTCTTAATGAACTTTAGTGTTCCTGTTTCAAAGAAAGGAAAATTAAAGACACACGATTGATCAATGACATTCGCACATTGTCTTTCATGTGAACATTGCCGTTGAATTTAGATGACTGTTAGCTCACAGGAAGACCCATCAAAAAAGCCATCTGGAAGGAGATCCATCTCCCAACTCTGTTGCTTATCACCTGTCTGATCTGACCATATTGTTAACTTCTTCATCTCAAACTTGCTAATAATAACTATTTTGCAATATCATTGAAAAGTTTTAGTGAGATAAGAATGTTATGTAATATAACTGTTTCATAAATGGAAGTTATTGTCAGTCTTAATAATTGTGTTTTTTATTATTAACAGGATCCACTTGATGTTCAAATTGACAAGTTCCTGGATCAGAACTAACCTTTAAATGGTAGCAATGAAAAAAAAAGAAAAGAGCTCTGTGAAGGTAGGTGCCATATCTTTTGTTGTGAGCGACTGTATTATACTATATATTCACTGCTGGAAAAGGCAGTTCCTTCGGTACTCATGTTACTTTTTCTGAAGGTTGAAATATGAAAGACAAAGAGGAAGATGCTGACATGTTATTTCCTGCAAACAGACATTGTGTGGCTGTCCTGGGGACTGGAGGCTGGAGGAAAGAGGCAGAGTTAGAGAGTTAGTGCCAGAAACTTTCTTAAAGATCTCCTGGGACAAACATCTTCATTATTTTTTAAATGAATGAAAACTCTGAACCGGAACTAAAAGATGTATTTAAAATCCTATTGCTAATTCATGGTACAGACAACATTAAAATTCAGATCTGTGGATTTTTCCCATCATTTGTTCAACTAAGTCATTCTTCTCTTTTTATAATTTTGTCTGTAATTAAATTGCTTTCCAAACTTAAGCATTTATAGGTTGAATTATTTGCAGTCTTGCAGCTTTACTTTCTATGTCTTTAATATACCTTATCTATCCTGTGAAAACCTGGGTCTTCTCTGTGGAGATCAGTTTATCACCTTGAGAGGCACTGAATTAATAGGATCAAATGAATCCCACTAGAAGAAGTAGGAAGTGGAGAGACCACATGTCCTTGGCATGAAACTTTGAGGTTATATTTTAATTGTAACTCCAGTGAAATTGTATCATATATTTTCATATACAGGACACATTGGGGAACACCTAGATCACATATGCTTAGAGGCTTCAGTGTGTGTGTTGCACAGTCCAAAACTGAGAATATAAGAGGTAATAATTTTGATTTAATGTGAAAATGGGAAGTGGTAGATATGGGACCACAAATCAAATACTATTTATTTAGAAGATGAAGAAAAGTTTAATCCATTTTGAGATTCATTGACAGCTAACAATTTTCCAAATCCACTATCATCTGTTCCTCAATTTCACTGAGGTAGACAGTGCAGTTTTCATCAGAGTTCAGTGATTTACCAAAAGTAACATAGCTCCAAATTAAGATTCTAGCACCTTAAGAGTGATTTACTCCCAGCACAGTGTTCTTCCTAATATACTAGTACCTAATTGCACCCAAATTGTTTGGAGTACTTTGTTTTCTGGAATAAAAAAGAAACTTAAAGAAATGAAATATGTGTAGGCCTTTGAAGAGGTTTTAAGAAATGATTTCCTGTAGCACTTTCAACATAAACTGTGTATAGGCAGAGTGCAAAGAGGAAGCCACAACTGGAAAAAAGAATCTGGAAAGGTCAAATGGTATGAGAGGGCAGCCAAGGAAGCCATCTCAATTTTAGTGTATTCTTGATATATGGATCCAAACACAATCTGAAAAGACTAACCTAATATATTTTTGACCCCGAGTTGACCCAGTCCCAACTTGCAAAAGAAGGAAAGCTGAAGTTGAAGGTTTGAAGCCATCAATCTTGCAGCATAGCTGAGATGGAGAACATCAGCAAACTAGCCAAGAAAAAGATTACTGGTCAAAAGTGAAGGAAAACAAATAGCAGGTAGGAATATTTTAGATGCACATAAAAAATATGAAGATCCTTTACATTGGAAAAATTCTTTTTATATGAACTGTTATGTATACACACACATACACACACATGCAATAATATCTTTTTTTTCCCCAACTAATTTATTCTGAAATTTACTTGGAAAGCCAGTGCAGGGGAAACAACGGAATACTGAGTAATGGCCAGCCGTCTCTCATGAGGAATCTAAAAGTACAAAATGTGACTGACTGTATTCTTCAGCATTCTCCAGTGAAACAGAACTAAAAGGATGTGTGTATATAAGACTCTTAACACATATATACATATATGTCTATATCTCTCTACCTATATATAGAGAGATTGATTTTTATTGGAGTTATAATTGACATATAATGTTAGTTTCAAGTGTGCAAAAGTCAATATTTGTGTTCATTGTGAAATGATCACCACAATAAATTTAATTAATATCCAGCCATACCTAGTTACAAATTGTTTTTTCTTGTGATGATAACTTTTAAGACTTATTCTCTCAGAAATGTACAAGAGAGTATTATTAATTATAGTCACCACACTATGCATTACATTCCCAGGACTTATGTGAGGTTGATTTATTATGTGGAATTGGTTTACTGGCTCATGCAACTGCGGAGGCTAACAGATCCCAAGATCTGTAAGGTGAGCTGCCAAACTGGAGACCCAGGAGAACTGACGATTTATTTTTGAGTACTTGAGGGACCGTCAGTCTTTTGGTTCTATTCTGGCCTTCAACTGATTTGAAAGCTCCACTGACAGCAGGAGGACATTCTGCTTCACTCAGTTTACCAATTTAAGTGCTAATTCATCCAAAAACATCCTGCAGAAACACCCAGAGTATTTGAGCAGATATCTGGGTACTCTGTGGCCCAGTCAGGTTGATACATAAAATTAACCATCACAATGACTAAAAGAAACTAATATTATAACAAATATATAGAACTTATAAAACCAAATAATGTGGACCTTCAATGTTATTTCCTTCTGAAAAAACGTATGTTCATTGCAATGATTTGTGGCAAAAATACTTACATGATGACCTTAAATCAAGTGTCCTTATAAAGGACAAGGACCTCCAAGAAGAGAAATCCAAAACTAAGTTTAGGTTATATGCAAAACCAAATAGGGATGTAATCCAGTTATCTTGAACTGAGAGTAAAAGAAACACAGTGTAACCATTTTACTCCTGCCTTGACTTGGGGCATGAGCTTGGAATGGTTTTGTATTGCCATAGAAATAAGTGTATGTGTGACAGATTTAACTCTTGGCAGTTTTCTTGATTATTCCTCCACTGGTGGAGGAGGCAAACATATAATAGAGTCAAGATTTTCTCTACCTTAGGAATAGTCTTGACAATTGTCATTTTCTTGGGAAAAGCGCTGAAAAGCATTGTCTGTAATTAGCACTTTTTAAAAGAAGCTGAGCAGTTAAAAATCAAAACAAAAATGTAAGAAGGCTTTAGAAGTAGTTACCTAAGTGTGATTTTTAAGAGTTTATTTCTAAACTCCCGACACAATGCATATAAGAGTTTTCTGATTTTTTTCTCCCACGTATTAATGAAATCAGACACTGAATATTCTTTATCAGTAAATTACTAATATGAATACAATAATACATAGGTACATTTAAGAACACTTTCAGATCCATTAACACTTTTGATTCTTACAAAATGCCTCTGATGTCGAATAGGAGGTAAGAATAGGTCTTATCTCCAATTTACAGATGGAAAAACTGAGACTCAATTCTAGATAATATATCTTCTTTTTGTTTAGTCATTAAGTCATGTCTGACTCTTTGCAACCCCATGGACTGTACCCCACCAAGCTCCTCTGTCCATGGTATTTCCCAGGCAGTAATGGCTAGGAGTAGGTAGCCATTTCCTTCTCCAGGGGAGTCTTCCCAAGTCAGGAATTAAACCCATGTCTCCTGCTTGGCAGGTGGATTCCTTACTACAAGGAGGATTGTTACACAAAAATTGAGTGGCAGATCTAAAAAGGGGTTAGACTTTCTAATTTTCATATCACAATCCCATAAATAACTTCATGGTTTTCGTGTGATTTCTGTATAGATCATTCCAAGGTCTTTTTGAATTGTTTTATCATGGGAGGTGATACATAATATATTTTGTTTCCTTCTCCCAATTGGGCTTGGAGTGAACAACTCAATTCTATCTGGATCACAGGGACTACCATTTTGTAGCTGTCTGGCATCCTCTTGTCCCCCTGTGCTTGAGATGAAAGCCTGATGCATTAGCTCTGCTCTTTCCTTCTATTGCTTAAGCAATGAAGAAAACATTACCCTAATCGCACTCAGTGTGTGCTATCTCCAGGCACAGCTGTTGTGTAGTCTTTCCAAGCTCAGCCATTAAGGAGTCTTACCAATGACAGAGCCCATTGAGAGCTGCAAAGCCAGACACTTGCCCTCTAATAACATCCATTTCTGCTTTCCTAGCTCATTCCAGGAAAGAGAGCCTGTCGGGCAAGGTTTCACAGTCCATAACTCTCCTTTTATTGTCACTTTCCCTCCTCCCTTTGAGGGGCAGTTTGCGAGCCGGCTCCCAAGCATAGCCCGTGGAGCAAAAGATTAGGCATGGCTTGGAGTCAGCCTCTTTATCAAATGAGCCCATGGAGTTTGAGCAAAAGCAAGCTTCAGAAAAGATAGATCTGCTCTGGCAACTGGTGCACCAGTGAAGATGCCTGTAGGAGAAGCAGTTTGCATCAGAGGCTAAAAATGGCACAGTTCTGGCTGCCTGGGAATACAGCAGTCTCAAGTTGTCTGCTTCTGGCTAGTAAAGTAATTGGAACTGATTGTTCTGGGCTTTGAAGATCATGCTACTGACCTGCCATGGGTAGGACTGAGTTTTCTGGACTGAGAATGGATAGTGAGATTGTGAGATACTTATGAAAAACTTGGTTTACAAAACACACTCACTTCTGTGAACTTGTTTGAAAATAGAATGGCAAAAATATGGGTTTTCATACAGAAATCTCAGTTCAGATCCCAGCTCTGCTCCCTACTAGTTGTATTACCTAGAACTAATTATGAATGCTCTTTAAACACAAAGGTTTCTCTGTCTGTAAATTGGAGGGTAATCATACCCACCTTCCTAATGTCATTGTTTGGATCACAATTCATATGTGATTTAAGTTTATACCTAAATCCCATACTTCATAGAATACAGAGCCTCTCATTAAGTGGTGACTCCTATGACCTGTAACATGAGCCATGTCACTTAGGGTGGCTATCATCCTAGTAATGAGGATACAGAGGCTCAGATTTCAGTGATTTGCCCGAGATCCTCAGCTAGAAAGGGAAAAAAAGACCCATACATATCACTCAAATATATAAACAATTAGTTCCATCACTCTGGAACTCATAAACTGGACAAATAACAAAAAAATTTTGAAGAAACCTCCAGTTCTTTACCTTGGCTTTTTTCCTCCAGATTTCATGAGATTTTAGTTCTTGGTTGAATATGCTTACTGATAAAGAGGTACATTAGAGAAGGAGGATGTAATCGGTTGTGAGTAGCAGGAGAAGAAGGAAAACTGGGAGAGGGAGGCATCAGATACATCCTGCACTCACTTAAATTACTTCACAGAACAAGCTTAAGGTAAATGAATGGAGATACACTCTGAGATTGAGAAAAACTTTTAGGAGGGACTAAACACATCATCTATAGAGGGGGGATATGGACGTAATAGGTGGTCCATCTACCTGAATCAGGAGGAAGGAGATGAATTAGATAGAAAGGGGTTTAATTCACAACAGTCGCTCAGTTGTGTCTGACTCTTTGTGACCCCACGGACTACCGCATGCCAGGCTTCCCAGTCCATCACCAACCCCAGAGCTTGCTCAAACTCCTGTCCATCAAGTTGGTGACACCATCCAACCATCTCATTCTCTGTCATCCCCTTCTCCTCCTGCCTTCAATCTTCCCCAGCATACAGGTCCTTTCCAA